CATGTACTTTCTGTGATATTTACATCTCAAAGGATATCAAATTTTTTGAAACACCCCGTATATATTTTTTTAACTCCCCAGTAATCTTAAAAATTTATAAAAATATTTTTCGTAATCTGTTTTATTGAATTTTAGGTAAATTGGTTTTAAATTTACTATAGTTACCACTTTCATTTTCTGATAATGTCGTGTATAGACAACAGTATTTACAAAAATTGACACGTTTATATACACACATATTTCTTTTTAAAATTCTGGGGTCACTGAATTGTTGGAAGCTTTTCCATTTATGATAAGTGCTTTTTTATTTTACGATTCAGTGCAGATTTTCGATAACTGGGAGTCATATTTTACGAAAAGAATTTGAGGATTTAAATTGTGGTTAGAACTAATATAAACATTAAGCAACACAAACAAGAATTTCAGTATCTGTCTATATTTCTGAGATGAGGTATTATGTACGCTATTTACATTATTCGGAGTATTGTCCTCATCTTTGTCGCCATATTTATTACAACGTTTCGACCTTTCAGTATCTGTCTATATTTCTGAGATGAGGTATTATGTACGCTATCTACATTATTCGGAGTATTGTCCTCATCTTTGTCACCATATTTATCAGAAAGTTTCGGCCGTTGTACACTCCGGCCTTCTTCAGGTGGTTGTAATGTCAAACTTAACCCTTTCTTTCGCTCACTGGGGTAGACTGTTCTAGTTCCACGTGCCATGTTTGATGGATGTCAGTTATCAGTTATCTCCTGTTAATTCCCCTCTCCAAGTTCTCCACTGCCTTAACCGGGTATTGAACTCACACTCTTTGGGTTTTGTCACTGGATCTAACCAACGCCTTTATCCACTGTGCCATGTGTCCTTGAGGACACATGGCACAGTGGATAAAGGCGTTGTGAGTTCAATACCCGGTTAAGAACTAGAACAGTCAACCCCAGTGAGCGAAATAAAGGGTTCAGTTCGACATTCCAACTACCTGAAGAAGGCCGGGGCGTACAACAGCCGAAACGTTTTAATAAATATGGCGACAAAGACAATCGTCCGAATAATGGAAATAGTAAACAATAATTTCTCGAAATTTCATGAAATTAATTAAATGGGGGGTGTGGGTTAACAGATGTAAAAGAATATATTTTTGTCAAAATTTTCTGAAAAGAAAACATTTAAAAAATAATTCATAAGAATAAGTCCTCAAATTTTCATTAAAATCCGATTATTATTTGAATTTTGCCAGGATTTCCAAATTAATGTTTTCCACCGCAAAAAGACGCTTAAATTTCCTATACTAATTTATGGTAACACGCCGACGCAAGAAAAAATATTTTAACCAACATTTTGAAGATTCTAAGAAGGGTAAAAAAAATATAATTTAATAATCAAAAACTCTTTGGTCTTTCCTCTTAATAATAACATAAACATTTTGACGATAAAACTTTCTTTTTATTAAATTTGATGGATTTTTCCATTATGTAGGCTCATCTTTTAGCGAATCTTTGGAGGCACTTACATATATACAATCTCTCGCTAAAGATGTTGAGAAATGACCGGCTCTTTATATCGCTCCAGAATGTCCTTGTCTCTACCTGTCATGTTCTTTCTTTACAAGAGCGACATCAGACGGAGAACAGAGTATCGCTGCTTCTTTTTTTAACCTTGACAGAGTTCAAAAGTGTTTACATAGACGATGGACTATTTCCCACCATACAAACTCTTCCCGGCGGACGAAATTTCGCCAGCCTTTCGCTGCTCTATTACTATTTCCACGGAAAATGTTCTGGCGATCTCTATTCCATAGCTCCACCAGTCAAGATCTTTACTATATACACAGAAGCGAACCATCTACCTTCCCTTCGTATTTTATTGGAATCTTTACGAATGGGACATTAGTAAAGATTGCAATACTTGCTGTTTTGTAGAACAGAATCCTGATGTAAAGCTTTCCTAATCCTTACAATCTTAACCTCAATCAAGTCCAGGATCAACTGTTATATACCCAACATAAGTATAGATTATACACTTTTCCTCTTACGTCCATAAAACCTCATACATTCGTCCTTTGGCTTGAGTGAATCTTGGCTCTTGTGTTAGGTGAAGAACTGCATAAAAAATTAGCTCGTGTATCGCGGTGAATGCGCTCTGGAAGACTTCGCTCCCCAGCTCAACGTTGCATAGGCAAGCGATCATCATTGGAATAAAGGCAAAAATCGAAGTCTTCAATGGACAACACAGAGGGTCATTCATTTTGCTGGCGTCAGATTTGCTCTGATCTATGCTGTGACGCCGTAAGGTCTGACCTTGCTACCGTTACAGCCTGCCACTATTTGCATTCGGCTGCATTATGTGACCGTCCAGAACATGGTCTACTTGGAATAAAAGTATACAAATGTATTTTTTTATAATCACCCATAATAATAATAATAGTAATAATCTGCCTGCACTGGACTTTATTGGAGCACACGTCACTATGTTAAGCTCAGACACCACGGTGCATTGGTAGGGGTGTTACTAAGTCACAAGATGGCTGACATTTTTTGTGAAAATGTTATCAGAATATCTACTTTTCCTGTGTGTCGTGTCCCTTCAGTACATGAAGGATCATTGCTCTCCACAACCTCCTATACTGTGAAACGTTTGTCCCTTTGTATCCCAGAATAGTGCCTTCACTAACTTGCATACTGTACCCAGGTCAAAATCGACATCACACTTTAGGGTTTGCAAAAGTATTTTTTTTATAATATAGAGTTTGAGAATTTTTATTTTCCATCAATGTCAAGAAAGATGGGTAGACCAGAGAATCGTATGAAAAGGGATGCCAGCGTTGAAAATTAATAATGGATACCGCTGTGATATTTGTTACCGCTGTGATTTTTTTACCGCCGTGATATTTTTTACCGCTATGATTTTTTTTTTACCGCCGTGATATTTTTTTACCGCTGTGATTTTTTTTACCGCCGTGATATTTTTTACCGCTGTGATTTTTTTCTTGCCGCCGTGATATTTTTTACCGCTGTGATTTTTTTTACCGCCGTGATATTTTTTAACGCTGTAATTTTTTTTTACCGCCGTGATATTTTTTTACCGCTGTGATTTTTTCCGCCGTGATATTTTTTTTACCACTGTGATTTTTTACCGCCGTGATATTTTTTACCGCTGTGATTTTTTTTACCGCTGTGATTTTTTTTACCGCCGTGATATTTTTTACCGCTGTAATATTTTTTTTTGTCATGTCTCTTCAGGACGTCATTATTTTTCACAACTTACTTTTTTAAAAGAATACTTGTGAATCCACGCTGTTTAATTCAGATTAATTCTTCTCCCAAAATGGATGCCACGAAATACTAGAGATCCCAGTCAAAATCTTTTTCAAATCATTTCACCCCAAGCAATAGGAGTAGATAGGTTTGCCTATTGTCCGGTTCACACTCTTCCCCGGTCTTTTAAACAGGATTAGGGATTTATCCCTTGTTTACTACTTAAGATTAGGTTTCCGGTTTCTTCTTTTTCTTCTCTTCCAGTTACAGTAGCCCTTTGCATCTTAGTGACATTAACGCCTTGCTTGTGGTGAATTGATTTTTAAAAAAGAATGAAAGAAAGGCAAGTTATTAAGATGCAAGGGGGTTACTGAGTGTTATGACAAAAATACACTATAAAAGAACAAGAGTTCCAAAAGTAATCAGTGCGATAGAAGAAACTGTTAGCATAGAACTTACGGTTACATCTAGCCATTTGAACTGTAATAAGGATGAGACCTAAACTGCCAAGATGCAAGGAGTTTATTAAGGGTGAAAGAATATAAGAAAAAGAAAAACTACTATTAAAGAGAGAGGACAATACAATAATAAGAATTAAGAAGACAGAAGATACGAACTGACTTTGCATTTAAATTTTTGAAGACCAGACTGGAAAGCAAGAAACAGAAAGAGGATTCCGCAAGTGAGAAGTGCGACAGAAGAAACTGTTAGCATAGAACTTACGGTTACATCTAGCCATTTGAACTGTAAAAATGATGAGACCTAAACTGCCAAGATACAAGGAGTTTATTAAGGGTGAAAGAATATAAGAAAAAGAAAAACTACTATTAAAGAGAAAGGACAATAAAATAATAAGAATTAAAAAGACAGAAGATACGAACTGACTTTGCATTTAAATTTTTGAAAACGAGACTGGAAAGCAAGAAGTAGGAATAGAGTCCCACAAGTGAGAAGTGCGATAGAAGAAACTGTTAGCATAGAACTTACGGTTACATTTAGCCATTTGAACTGTAAAATGATGAGACCTTGCCGCCAATCTAGTACTGCGCTTAAATTCATAAATTCTAGGTACTATCGTAGAAAGTTCCTCAGAACAATATTTAACACATCGCTGAAGGAGAAGCAATAGATTCATGCCTTCCTCAAAGGCATATGTGCGAAAATGAATGCTACTGCCAAGGCGGGAATTTGACCCTGGTTTGTCGATTTCATCTTTCCGTGCCGTTAACTGCTCTCACTACCCGCACATCCTCCGATAAATATATCTATATCAGCCAACCGGCCAACGATATGAATACATTTATCTCAGGTACACTTACGCACCAGGAAAAATCTCAAAGGACCTTTACCAGCAACAATCTTAACTGATTTACACAAGGCGATATAAACACTTCGTCGAATCTATTGGCAAGATGGCCGAAAAATAATGAATCTAGATTTTAGACGATCCGCGCTTTTCAGAAATTGCCAATAGGAAGTGGGCAGGCTCGGCAGTGCAGGAGTGGGGCTTTGACCCTGGAAGAAATAATTCCTCACCATTCAGTTCAAACCCCCACCCATTTTTCCTAAGAAGACCCCTTCCCCAACACCGTCCAATTCTCATAGCCATTGAGGCTAAATTAATGAACTAGTGGAGAAGACAGTGAAGAGATGCTGGTGGAGTTTAACGTTTATTTCGAGTTTCTCGTAAATCAGGAGCGGGAATTTTTGAAACTCGGCGTTCACGCTCAAACAGACACGATGACGTCACTTCAAGAATCAATTGGAGGTACCGGCTTTGGGCTGGGTGTTTATTGGTCAGCTCAAAACACAGGGTCGTGGGTCATGTCATTGGTTTCTCTATCTATTGGTGGTAAGGGTGGATAACGCGGGTAGTGTCTGGGATGTTTTCGGTGCGGAGATAGCAGAGGTGTAACCTGTCAATTATGTGTTATTACATTTAGGGGTAAGGGTTGATTTGGAAATCAGGGTGGTTAAATCAGGGCCGGACAAAGCAGATATTATATGGATACGTAATAAATTCACGCTTCCATTTCTCTTTCTTTCAGATTCAAAATTGTTTTCATTTGGCGGGTACTCTTTTTTTTCTTTCTTTCTACCCTGTTTCGATTCCTTCTTCCTTTCTGCCCTTTTCTTATTCATTCTTTCTTTCTTACTACCCTCTTTCTTCTTCTTTCTTTCTTGTCTTTTTGTGGATATTTTATTTATTTTTCTTATTCTTTTCCTTCTCACACCCTTCCCATCACGATCTCTTTCTTTCTTACTCTCTTTCTCTCCCTTGCTCTCCTTTTCTCTCCCTGTTTCTTCTTTTTCTCGCCTTTTGCTCTCCTTTTCGTTCCCTTTTCTCCCCTTTTATCCCTTGCTCTCCTTTTATCTCCTATTGCTCTCCTTTTATCTCCCCTTGCTCTCCTTTTCTCGCCTTTTGCTCTCCTTTTCATTCCCCTTTCTCCCCTTTTATCCCTTGCTCTCCTTTTCTCTCCTATTGCTCTCCTGTTATCTTCCCTTGCTCTCCTTTTTCTCGCCTTTTGCTTTCCTTTTCGTTCCCCTTTCTCCCCTTTTATCCCTTGCTCTCCTTTTATCTCCTATTGCTCTCCTTTTTATCTCCCCTTGCTCTCCTTTTCTTGCCTTTTGCTCTCCTTTTCATTCCTTTTCTCTCCCCTTTTATCCCCTTGCTCTCCTTTTTTCTCCTATTGCTCTCCTGTTATCTCCCCTTGCTCTCCTTTTTCTCGCCTTTTGCTTTCCTTTTCGTTCCCCTTTCTCTCCTTTTATCTCTTGCTCTCCTCTTATCTCTTATTGCTCTCCTTTTATCTCCCCTTGCTCTCCTTTTCTCGCCTTTTGCTCTCCTTTTCATTCCCCTTGCTCTCCTTTTCTCTCCTGTTATCTCCCCTTGCTCTCCTTTTTCTCGCCTTTTGCTTTCCTTTTCGTTCCCCTTTCTCCCCTTTTATCTCTTGCTCTCCTCTTATCTCTTATTGCTCTCCTTTTATCTCCCCTGCTCTTCTTTTCTCGCCTTTTGCTCTCCTTTTTTCGCCTTTTGCTCTCCTTTTCTTTCCCCTTTCTCTCTTTTTCTCTCCTATTGCTCTCCTTTTATCTCCCCTTGCTCCCCTTTTCTCGACCCTTATTCCCAGTTTCTCTTCTACTTGTTCTCATCTTTTTGTATTCGTTTTTTTTCTTTCTTTTTCATGCCCTTTTTTTTCTCAATCTGTTTCTCTATTTCTTTCTTTCTCCCTTTCTCTCTGTTGTACTTTAAAATATTATCTTATTTTCTTCATTTTTACTTAAATTCTCTATTTTGCTCTTCTTTCCAGCACCCTTTTTCTTTCTGAGTTAAGGTAAAAAAAATGTAACTTTTTTTCTTCCTGTCTTTTTTTTGTTGTTGTTTTCATCCTTGTCGTTCTTCCAAATTAAATGTTTTCTAATATATTTTCTCAATATTTTGGAATGGTCTTTGATTCGTAAATTTGTCTTTGTTTCCTTGGTCGTCTTCTCTTTCGTCTTTTGTTTTCTTTTTAATTTTCTTTCTTTTGTTCTCGCTTCTCTTCTTTCTTTTTCTTTTCTTATCTTCTATCTTTGTTCCTTTCTTTCTTTTCATTTTCTTCTTTTTTTTTCGTGTTTTTCGGTTTCTTTCATTTCTTCTTTCTTTGTTCTGTTCCAATATTTATTTCTATTTTCTTTTCTTTCTTTTTTTCTTTCTTTCTTTCTTTCTTTCTTTCTTTGTTCGTTCTATTCTAGTCTTTTTCTTTCTTTCTTTTTTCTCATCTTTCTTTCTTCTTCCTTTTGTTTATTGTTGTTTTCGCTTTCTTTCTTTTCTTCTCATCTTTCTTTCATTACTTTTTCTTTTTTACTGTTTTCGCTTTCTTTTATTTCTTCTTTGTTCTCTTCCCATATTTCTTTCTTTTCTTTCTTTCTTCTCTTGCTTCCCTTCTTTCTTTTTGGTTTTCTTTTTGGTTCGTTCTGTTCTGGTTCTTTCTTTCTTTCTTTCTTTTCTTCTCATCTTTCTTCTTTTTTTCATTGTATTTTCTTTTTGGTGTTTTCGCTTACTTTCATTTCTTCTTTCATTTTTCTCTTCCAATATTTATTTCTTTTTCTTGTCTTTCTTTATTTTGTTCTTGCTTTCCCTCTTTTTTTTATTATTTCTTTGTTCTGTTTTGTTCCTGTATTCTTTCTTTCTTTCTTTCGTTTATTTCTTCTATTTTTTCTTTCTGTCTTTCTTTCTTTCATTACTTTTTTTTTCTTTTTTGGTCTTTTCGATTTCTTTCCTTGTTCTGTTTTCTTTCATTCATTCTTTCTTTTCTTTTCTTTCTTTCTTTTCTTTCTTTCTTTTCTTTCTTTCTTTTCTTTTCAGACCCTTCAACAGCTCACTTTCATCATTTACTAATGAGAAACAGCTTTTTTTGCTTAGTGTAACACGGAATTAAATAAACTCGAATTTTGCCAATTTTAAAGCGGCAAGGTCCTACTTGAATGTCTTGAAAATCAGTATTCGAAACTCAAAAATCATTTTATCTGAATTCGATCATAATCATTTCAGCAATCAATGATAATTACACAACTACTTCATCCACGAGGTAGGCTTTTACATCCACTTATCCTTGCTTATTTCGGAAGAGACCACATGTGAATATGCACCCAGTGGGGCGCGTAATCACTAAAACAGTCATTTGTTGACATATTGACCACTTATCCATGAAGAAGCTCCTCTTACAGTGCTTATGTAGCTGGCGCTAAACATTCTTTCTTTCCAATATCTCACCTCGTTAGGCTTTGTATTACATTAAAGTAAATTAAAAAAAATATTGTGTTTACGTGATTAAATAAAACATCCTGAAAACGTTGGTAAAATGTATAAGAAGTAATAAGAATAAAAGTAATAATAGTTTAATATAAATAAAAGTAATAAGAGTAAAAGTAATAAGTTAATATCATTAAAAGTAATAATAATAAAAGTAATAAGTTAATATCATTAAAAGTAATAATAAAAGTAATTATAATTTAATACCATTAAAAGTAATAATAATAAAAGTAATAATAAGTTAATATCATTAAAAGTAATAATAATAAAAGTAATTATAATTTAATACCATTAAAAGTAAAAGTAATCATTTAATACCATTAAAAGTAAAAGTAATCATTTAATACCATTAAAAGTAATAAGAATAGGAAGAGTATGGCGTCATAATTCGAAATATAAAATATTTACTCTGCGTAACTTCCTTCGACATAACCACAAAACATTGGTAGACTATACGAAAAGTAATTTACGCAGCACACAAGGTCAAAGAGAGAAAAAAAAAAGAGGAGGAAGACTGCGTGTGCCATTATTCGAAATATATAATATTTACTTCGTCCAACACAATGGAAAACTACTGAAGTCAAAGTAATAAATACTCTGGATTATATTTCCAAAGCTTAGCGTCATACGAAACTAATTAAATGAAATGAGGAAGGAATATTGTATTTCTCTAAACTTGTAAATAAAGAAGGTTTAGTTTGCTCGCCTTAAAAATCAGCATTTGAAGTTCTTACTTATATTTGGATTCGAACAACGACATCTGGTACCGAGTAATACTAAGTAATAATTTTAAAGCCCAAAAGATAGAATCGATCGCCATAAGTTGTGATCGAGAATGCGGCACTTAGTGCAAAAGGAGAAAATGCGTTTGTGCGTATGTGCATGCGTGTTAGAGAGAGACAGGGGTGAGAAAGAAAGAAAGAAAGAAAGAAAGAAAGAAAGAAAGAAAAAGAAAGAAAGAAAGAAAGAAAGAAGCAAGTAAAGTGTAGAAAGAAAGGAAGAAAAAAGTAAGTCGAACGTAGAAAGAGAAAAAGAAAAAAGTAAGGAAAACACAGGAAGAAATAAAAGAGCATGCTAAACGTAGAAATAAATAAAGGAAGAAAAGAATGAAACGTAGAAATATACAAAACGTAGACAGAAAGTAAGAAGCAAAACGTAGTATTAAAAAAAAAAAGAAGCAAAGAAAATGCGGAAAGAAAGAAGCAAAACGTAGAAAGAAAGGAGAAAGCAAAGCGTAGAAGGAAGCAAAACGTAGAAAGAAAGAAGCAAGCAAAATGTAATAAGAAAAAAGTAAGCAAATCGTAGAAAAAAGCAAACCACAGAAAGAAAGAAGCAGGCAAAACGTAATAAGAAAGAAGCAAGCAAATCGTAGAAAGAAAAAAGCAAGCAAAACGTAATAAGAAGGAAGCAAAACGTAATATGAAAGAAGCAAGCAAAGTGTAGAAGGAAGCAAAACGTAGAAACAAAAAAGCAAGCAAAACGTAGAATGAAAGAGATAAACTGAGATTATGGCTCAACATTTTGTTAAGAGAGAAAAAAGAAAAAAAAAATGAAAGAAAAAAGAAAGAAATGAACTAGAACAATAAAGAGGAGGAAGAGGTTAAGTGATAAGAAAGAAGCATAAAAAAAGTAGAAAGAAGCAACTAGAGTGAAGTGTGAGAGAGAGGTGGAGGGAGAGATGGCTGCATCATTTCTTTGTTAATGGTCAATTTTTCGCGTCCATCTTTGTCCCCAGCCATGAATTATTTTTCATTTTATTGCTTTATATTGAGGCAAATTTCTAATGGATTGCGAATGACTAATAACCACTAGTTTCCGATCCATTTACTGATCCATACATGTATCTAATCCATTATATTTTATATTTATCCTTTACTAGTCCCCATGTTGTCATTAAGGGCTTTATTAATTAACATCTCCCGAGAAACTGACGGAACCGCTTTTTATAACGAGCAGACGATATATTTTGCCCTAAATCAGTCATGCCACAAGAGCATCATCATCAGCAACAGCAGCAGCAGCCGCAGAAGGAGTAATAGTAGTAATAGTAGTGACAGTAGTAGTAGTACGATCATTGTATTTATATTTAACACTGACTGAGGTTAATACAAGGACAAAATGTACCGGAGCGCCATTTTATATAGGCTTATAGGGCCATTTTATTTTCGTTTTTCTTTTATAGGGCCATTGTTTTTTCTTTTATAGAGTCATTTTAAATTATTTTTTTAAAAATAATTTCACCCCAAGCAAACCAATAAAAGCCACTAGGATGCAAGAAGTTACTGAGCGTGAAAAAAAAAACAAAAAAAAAACAAAAAACAGAAAGGACAATAAAAGAACGCGTTTCACGGAAACAGACGATAACGTTTGCGGTCCATTTAAATTTTTTGAAGATCGTAGCTGACGGCAAAGCGAGAAGCCGGAAGAGAGTTTCACAAGCGAAAATTGCCAGAAACTATTCGGGTAGAACTTACGATTACAACAAGCAATTTCAAGAGTAAAATGATGAGACCTAACTGCCAATCTAGTAATTCGTGAATGGTTGATAGGGCGTAAAAATAAATCAGTTAATTAATCGATTCTCATAAGATTTCGAGTGTTATATAGCCTTCGGCTATTTTCAGGTATCTCTCTTCACTTTATTAAAATGTCGAATTGACACTTTATTTAATAGACGTTCTTCTTGTTCCGCTACAGGAATATTTCACAACAGTTAATGCTCCTCAGTTTTATTCATCTTACAAAGACTACAGTGAGGGTGTTCGTTTGACCAAAAAGCATTCTTTTAAATCATTCCACCCCAAGCAAGGCGATAATGCCACTAAGACAGTGAAGGTAACTGAGAGAGAAGAAAATGAGAAGGCGTCAGTGAAGAGAATTGTTAATCGGAGATACAAGTTTGAATCACCATTGTCTTCATTATATTCACTTAAGAGAAAATACCCTTGGGAAAGGTGTGAATCCATTTCTTCTCCCCAGCTATGGGTTAATTAGTAATCAAAATAATCTCCCTCCACTGAGTTCTTACAATCTAAAAATATTTTCTGACTTTAACTAACCTGCAACGGGAGGATAAGCCCTAGAAAACAAACACTCAGTATCTATCTATCTATCTATCTATCTATCTATCTATCTATCTATCTATCTATCTATCTATCTCGGGGCATTCTTTTTCTATCTATCTATCTATCTATCTATCTATCTATCTATCTCGGGACATTCTTTATCTATCTATCTCAGGGACATTATCTATCTATCTATCTATCTATCTATCTATCTATCTATCTATCTATCACAGTTCGTCCTGTGTATGACGATAAACTACATCTGCGTCCTGGGTAAGACGATAAACTACGTCCAACAGCAAGACCTCTGATCAGGAGGCTTTGAGAAGCGTGGAACTACCACTTAATTGCTGGTGTTCCCAGGTCCACTCTGACCCGGGGTAGTAGTACCTGTTAGGGTCCCAGCTATGGGCAAATAGTTAACATCCAAACTTGTGTAAAAATAGATTTTAATACCAGAAATACTTTGGAATAAAAAAATTATTACTAGCAATAATTTTTGAAGTAAAAATTATCAGCAATATTTTAAAAAAAATAACAGCAATGCAAACAGTTATACATTCTTTGAAAAAAATATGACCAGTTATCGATTTCTTCAAGGCAAAAGATTCCCAGAAATAGATTTACCAGCAATAAAATTTTGTCGGCATTAAATAATCCACTGAGATTGAAATGCCGTAAAAAACAAAACAAAACGAACCAAACCTATTAATCACAGTGCATTCATTCTAAATCTATCTAAAAATATATATATATATATATATATATATATATATATATATATATATATATATATATATATATATATATAGTTTTTCCAATTGTCATTTGATACCAATCTGTCTTGTCCACAGAATTCATCTGGGAATTTAACTATATTGTCGACATGGGAAAAAAATAATAATAATAATCCCTTACTATAAAAGTAATTTACAATAACCAGAAAAAAAAAGGTTTAGACAGAAGCGTGTATCTTTTAAATTTGGATTTTTACTGTAACTATAACAACAAAAACATTTCGATTTCATTTTTGCCTTGAAAAAGTCGGAAGACGAAACGCGTCGGCAAAATGTAAGATTTTTTTTTTCCAATTGACATTTGATACCACACGCACACACACACACACACACACACACACACACACACACATACACATATATATATATATATATATATATATATATATATAAGACAGCTGATTATCTATCTATCTATCTATCTATCTATCTATCTATCAAATAATTAATGTCAGTCTATCTCATTTTGCCTATATCAATATTAATCCACTGAAATAAATAAATCTCTTTACACTCATATTTTTACTCTGTTAACATCTATCTATCTATCTATCTATCTATCTATCTCTCTATCTATCTATCGATCTATCTATTTAAGTCTGCTTCTATCCTATCCGTCTATCTATCTATCTATCTATCTATCTATCTATCTATCTATCTATCTATCTATCTCCGCCTTATTTCCATAAAAGGCTTTATGCGTGTGCCTTGTGGGGAAACTAAC